CAGCCACTCAGCCTGCTGCAGTGTCGGGGCACCACGGCGGGCACCGGCGACTTCCCTGCCACCCTCACCTGCCGTACAAGCTTGCCAGCAGCTCCCGCGGCAGCCCTGAAGCTCCAGCTTGTGTGGCTGCATCTGCCTGAAACTGGAGACATGGCAAACCAGATCCCAGCTCAGGAGAAGGGAACCAAACGAGACAGGCTGACGCCATTCCTCCCCACACCTTCCTCCCCTCAAACATACGTGCCCATGTTCCAGCATCCCTGAGCACCCTCCCCATGGGCGCTGTGAGCAGATGCGGAGACACCAGCGTCAGGGAAGCCCCTGGCACCAGCCAGGCTGGTGATGGGCAGCTACAGCACGTGCACGGGCAACATCGCATCCTGCCTCCTGTGATATGGTACCGAGCCCCAGCGGCATGAACTGCCTTCTCCTTGGCCCAGCCGAGCAGACGGGGCTTCCCCCTGAGGGTCAGCAGCTCTTGCAGGCAGGATTTTCAGCTGGCAGCTGAGGTCTGTGAGCACTGTCCCACTGACTGCTGTGGCTCCATCAAGTTCATCTCGCTCCAGCTGAGAAATTGGACCCATTCTACTTTATACGTCAATGTAACATTAATACCAAGTTTTTGCAAGAACTCAGTAAAGTCTAGACTGGATCATGAAGTGGTTTATTCCAGTGCCGTGTGCCTCTTTCCGTCTCTGCCTTCTGGCAAAGCTGGCAGGGAGCCGGTGCTGAATCAGAGCCTCACCCAGCACTGCTGCAGGGTTTGCAAACCGTAAAAGGTGGAGGAACAGGGAGGGACAGAGAAGCCAGCAGGAAGAAAGGCCAGGAGGTGCAGGAAAGATCGGGAGGGAAAGGGCATTCCAGGATAAAAGGCTGATGGACAGCCTGGACAGCCAGAGTGGGGGGACAGGCCTGGCAATGGGGACCTGGGGAGAGTCTGAAACCACCCAAATGCCAGCACCACGTGAGCTGCCTCTCACACCCCCCTCCACCCCTGCCGCTGCTGTGCTCCCCAGCTCCTGGGAGCCAGCACGGGGCACTGCCGGCGGGGCTGGCCTCTGGGAACAGAGAACCGAGTCCAGGGATGAAGGCACCTGGAGAAGTCCCTGCTCATCAGCCATAGGGAGGTGCCCTGAAGGATTTGCAAAATGCAGCTCCCTGGGCTGAACTGAAGCAACGTCACTCGTTCGCAGCATGCTCCCCATGTGCGGAGACCACCAGCCCAACCTCCACGGGGGTCTCAGCCTCAGGACAATCAGGGAGGAGGAGCAGGGCTCAGGCGCCCATGCAGGGTGACAAGGGACGTCCTAGTTCCAAATGGGAAGCCCAGGCCTTCCCAGGGATGACCAAGTGCTGTCATTAGAGAAGGCCTGGGAGAGCAGGGATTGCTCCTGGGGAAGACACCGTGCAAGGGGCTGGTCCTGGCAGAGGTCCCGCAGCCATCCCGGGTGCGGGGCTGGTAGCACTGGAGGAGCTGCTGCTTCCACCAGCTCCCCGCAGCCCTCACACCCCTCTCCGGGGAGAGGCACTGCAGGAAGAGCCACGTGGGAATGGAGCAGTGTGGCAGCATGCTGGGTTGGTTTCTCTTTTGAAAATAAAAATGGGGGCAAGCCAAAACTGAGGTGACATTTGGTTTATTCTCTGCATGATTTGTTTAACCCTTGCCAAGAGCTTGCCAAAGGATGCATTGACCCCAGCCACATCCCTGGCTTGTCCCATGGGTCTTGCATGGGCAAGAGACCAAGCGAACGGGGGACCCTGATGGCCACAGTCATCTTGTGGCTGTTATCACCTTGCCATGGGTAAGAACTCATGCCAGAAAGGGCTGTTGCTCCACCTGGAGAGAATCTTCCATCACCACAGCTTGTGCCTTCCTCTGGAGCACGCTCCAGCTCCTTCCAGCCCATCTCTCAGGATGCTCACTGAGCTTTTCCATGCAATGCGGGGGAGAAGGGTTTCCGCAGGGAAGTGCAGGAGATGGCAGGGCCCGGAGATGCAAGGGTAGCCCCAGCCCCTTTTTGTGGACGATGGGAGGTGAGGCAGCAGCAGGCTCTGGGCTGTAAACCCACACGAGTGGTTTTGCCCCCGCTTGCGGCACTGAGCTAACCCTAGACCCTGGCCTTGGATGAGCTTTAGCCTAGGGGAAAAGCTACTGGGAGAGGAAGCACTGTGCAGCCTCACCCACCCTTTGGCAGCCCCTTTGCCACATCAGTGGGAGCCCAAGGCTTTGACTCCTTCCAACCCTCACCCTAAACCTCAGCCTCACCCTAGATCCGGGTTGTTGGCTGAGCCCCCTCAACATCAGCAGCCCTGTCTCAAGGAAGAACCTGTCAAAAGAAACTTTTTGCCATCTGCCTTGTCCTTGGGCAGCTCACGGAGGGGTCTGGGGCTTTCTGAAAGTCCCATAGCCCCAAAAGCATCTGGAGATCTTTAGGTGCACCAAAAGGCAAATGGGGAGCTCTGGGCCACACCAAAAGGCAAACTGATGCCTTTCAGGACAAGAAAGACAAGCAGATTGCATTTGGATGCATGAAAAGCCAAGCCAAGGGGTCTTGAGGGCATGGAAAGGCACGCTGAGGCTGCTGGGGTCGCCGAACGGCAGATGGGGAGTGCTGGGGGCACCAAAAGGCCCAAGAAGGGCTGTGGGGCAAACTGAAAGGCACACAGAGGCTCCTGGGCTGCACCGAAAGGCAAATGGAGGCCCCAGGGGGGCACTGAAAGGCACCCAGAGGAATGTAGTGTGTCCTGAGACGCACACAGGGGCTCCCGGCACGCACCAAAAGGCACACGGAGGCGTACGGTGCGTCCTGAAATGCACACCGAGGCCCCTGGGCAGCAGAAGGGGCAGGACAGGGTGAGTGGGGGAGAAGGATCACCTGGCCCTCCCCAGAAGGGGATGTGCAGGTCCGAGGGTGGCCTGGGGGAGCCCCCCAAAACACGGAGAGCCCGGTGGAGGGCTGAGCTGGAGGCTGCTCCCCCCATAGCGGGGCAGAGGGAGTTTGGCATCATCTCAGGGGACACTGGGGGGAGGAAGAAAAGCGATTTCCAGGAACAGAGCATCCTCTCACTGGTCCACAGGGAAATGTTTGCAACAGCAGGGTGCAGACACCTGGGAAGGGCACGGACCACAGCCCGCCTGGGGCTAAAGCCTGGTCGCCCTGCTGCAGCGGCGCCTGCAGGTGTGGGGTCTCCTCCAGAAGTGGGGTTCCCTGCGCAGGTTGTGGTAAATGACTGTGATGGAGCCCATGAAGGTACAGAAGAAGATGCTGGCCATGAAGGAGAACGGTCCGATGATCAAGAAGGCGATGTAGTGCTGGGCAGACAGTGAGGTCTCCTGGCATTGCCTGAAGGACTCATTCCCAAAGGCCATGATCGGAAACTTGTTCAGCTGCTCTGGGACTCTGCACAGGAGCAAACTCTTCTCTGGAAGAGAAAAGCAGTGCTGATGGGCACATTGGGCAGCTGGGACAAGGCAGGTATCAAGGACAGAGGGGATGGCAGGTTGGTATGGGACAGATGGGACCAGGGCAGGAGGACAGGGTCCAGGCTGAGCATGATAGCCCAGGTCAGGATATAAAGAAGGGGAGCAGTGAGGGTTCAAGGCTCACCTACATCCTACACCCCGAGGAATGGGACAGGATGGGGAGGTGGGCGCAGTGTTGAGGAGGGCAGTGGAAAATGGGTTTGGGGTAGGATAGGATGGGGCAGGACGGTAGATGGGGCAGGCAAGGTGATGGGCCTGGTTCCCAGGGGACGGATGTGGGGAGGAGTGAGCAGCCAGCCTGGAGATGCCACAGAAGGTCCCAGCCAGCACAAGCGACAGGCGCACACCCAAGCTGGAAGCAAGCAGGAGCCGGTGGCAGCAGAGGGACAGACCTCGCTGGCAGAGCTGACTCTCACCAAGGTTAACGGCGGAAGAAATGTAGGATCAGATCCATGCTCATGAAGGCATTGGGGAAGGGGCTGAAGGCACCAAGTCCTGGCCTGGTCAGAGGTGATGCCCACCTTGCCACACAGGCTCTTCTTGCCACCTCAGGTGCCCATTGCCCAGCACACCTTGCCCTGAGCGTGGCAGGACTGGTGCCACTGCTGGGGACAGCGCTGAGTGCCTGTCGCTGGGACATTGCCCAGCCCTCCTCTCCATGCCACCCCCAGCTGATGACCAAGGACCAAGGGTGGGCACCAGGTACCAGACCCAGGGCTGCATCCACCCAGGCAGACACAGGAGCTGCCATGGCCTGAGGATGGGGCCTGGGGAACCCCCAAGGGCCCCGCCCTCAGCCCTCAGCCGGACGGGGGTGCCCAGCCAGCATGGAGAGGCTGGGGGGCTTGGGGACACCGTCCTCCGGGCACTCACCTTGCACTTTCTCCCTGTTGTGGCTGAGCCAGCGCCAGAGGGGCAGGATGCTGCAGCTGCACACCCAGGGGTTGTCCTGCAGGAGGAGGGCTCGGAGCTGGGGCAGGGCGCGCAGCACCTCAGGCTCCAGCTCCCCCAGCCTGTTGCTGCCCAGGTTGAGCGTGGCCAGGCTGGTGAGGGGCAGGAAGGTTTCGGGGGCCAGCACAGTTAAGTAGTTGTAGCTGAGGTCCAGCTCC